ATATAATATATATATATATATATAAACCCTAAACCCTAAACCCTAGAAACCCTAGAAACCTTAGAAACCCTAGAAACCCTAAACCCTAGAAAAGGCATATATATGTACTCTAGGACAAATGGCGAAGAAACGTGACAGAGGGAGAGATAACAAACAACAAACTGCAAACCCTAAACCCTAAACACTACTCAAGAGCAGACAAATGCAGGTGTGTGTGTGTATGTGCTTGATTGGTATTGCTGTTGAGGGTTTAGGGTTTAGGGTTTACCATGTTACTATCTTTATCAGGCCTTTTTATTGCGCTGTATTGAACTTCTGCTCTTTTTCCCGCTATGTCTGTTGCCCTTAATGATTCGCGTGCTGCCTCAGCATGACGAATATCAAACTGTAAACAACAAACCCCAAATTAGGGTTTAGGGTTTAGGGTTTAGGGTTTGGAAACAGCACACAGAAATAAACCCTACAACCTCCAACACCACCAGTCACCCCTCTATCCTCCATAAACCCTAAACCCTAAACCCTTCCGTAGCACCCCATCCATTACGCGCCCGTCCTTGGATATATATATCTCTCTCCTTTTCCTCATACCATATATCTCCGCTCAAACCCTAAACCCTAAACCCTAAACCCTAAACCCTAATTTCTTACGAATTCAACAAAAATCATATGCTTCTCTGGATAAGTAGTAATTTTGCGAATATCTCCAAATTGTTCATAAACACTATTTTGACCAAAAACCCTAAACCCTAAACCCTAAACCCTAAACCCTAAACCCTAATTTCTTACGAATTCAACAAAGGCCATATGTTTTTCTGGATAAGTAGTAATTTTGCGAATATCTCCAAATTGTTCGCAAACATTTTTTAATACTTCTTCTGTTGCATCAGAAGAAAGACGACCAAAGAATAAACAGCGACTCTGTAGGGCGTCAGGCTCCGTCTCTATAGAAAAAAAAATATACACCACACTATTTATTTATTAGGGTTTAGGGTTTAGGGTTTATTGTCTAGGGTTTAGGGTTTATTGAAATGTATATATACATGTAGAGAAGGAAAATAGACATACACACATACACACACATCACCTATTAGAAAGATGGAGGGAGTAGGCGGTGATCTGGACTAAACCCTAAACCCTAAACCCTAAACCCTAGAGACCGTAAACCCTAGATAGTTGGTGGACACTCCTGCTGGTTGGGTGTGCGTCGTGCATACCTGGATCGACTGCCCCTGGACTGCTGCGGGCTGCTGGAGGTCCCCAAGCTCCCCATTGGTAATCTGCTGCTGCTGCTGCTTGTGCTGCTGCTGCTGCTGCTGCTGCCTGAGGAGGAGCATAAGGGTACCCTCCATAAGAAGAATAGGGCCCCACGGCAGGGGCATAAGCAGGGTCTGTCATTGTAGAGAGGAGGAAGGAGAAGAGAGGGAAGAAAAAGGGTTTAAAAGGCAGCACCGAAGTGCTGCTGCTGCTGCTGTTGCTGTTGCTGCTGCTGTGCTGCTGCAGCTAATGCTGCGGCCCCCAGCAGGTGTACAGACAGCCCCGAGGGGGGGGCAAATCGCCTCTGCTGCAGCAGCAGAGAAGCTAAACCCTAATTGTAAGAGAGGAAGAAGAGGAGTATAAATAAGTAGTAGGAGGAGCAACAACGAGTAGAGGAGGAGTAGGAGGAGCAGCAAGAACAGCAGCAGGAACAGCAGCAGCAACAGCAGCAGCGGCAACCAGCAGCAGCAGCAGCAGCAGCAGCAACAAAACAAGGAAGCCCAACAGGTGCTGCAGCAACCCCCTGTTCCTCTCCCCACTAAAATAAATTAAATAAATTAAAACATTTTTTTCTTATTCAATCGATGTTACGTCTTTATCTGTCCATACACCCCAAAGGCCGCACCTCCTAAAGCCACAGCAGCCCTCCCCGATGCATGTATGCGTACCTGCTGCTGCTGCTGCAGCTGCTGCTGCTGCAGCAGCAGCCAGCAGCAGCACGGCTACTGCTGCTGCTGCTGCTACTAATGCTGTTGCTGATGAGCGCGATAGACCTCCTTCTTTTTCTTTCTCTTTTTATTTTGTCTAATTTATGTCTTAGATGAATGATTAGGGTTTTTCTTATCTGCTGCATGCATGCAAAGGGTTTAGGGTTTAGCTACGAGGGTTTGCCGTGACAGGCACGTGGGCATTGCTGCTGTGCTGCTGCCAACCCTAGCAGCAGCAGCAGCAGCAGCAGGCCCCATCGAGTCCGCTGCTGTTGTTGTTGCTGCTGCTGCTGCCACTGCAGCCCCTGCTGCTGCTGCTGCTGCTGCTGCTGCTACAGTTTTTAACGTTATATTTAGATTAAGAAGAGAAGGAACGATAAGAGGTTAATCAGGAAGAGGAGGCGTGCCTCTTGTCTTCGCGGTAGATCCAGGTTAGCACGCATCTCTGCCCGTCAAAACCCTAAACCCTAGGCCCTAAACCCTGCATTCTTGTTGATTCTCAAGTTCTAGCTTATTCCATAATGTTAAGGGTTTAGGGTTTAGGGTTTATGCTCCTTCGAACCCGGGTTTAGCTACCGAGGCCCCGTCTACTCCGTGCGTCGTGCATGCAGGGGGGGGGTGGGGCCGGCAATGGTTTAGGGTTTAGGGTTTAGGGTTTACGGTTTGTGTCTCTTGATATTCAGGACGAGGAAGTGTTGGGTATTGGATCGATCCGCCGCACGGAGCGGCCCGTGCTTCTTTTCTCCCCCACCCGAGGGTTTAGGGTTTAGGGTTTACGGTTTAGGGTTTACGGTTTGAAGATGCACGCCCCTCCCGCAGGACGCGGGAGGCACATGGTGCTTCCTGCATGGATGACTCGAGGGCCCCAGGCCTCTGCTGCAGTTGCTGCTTCTCCTGCTGCTGCTGCTGCTGCAGCTGCAGCAGGTGTAAGTGCTGCAGCAGCTGCTGCTCCTACCTGTCCTCGCCCTGTTGCTGCTGCTCCTCCTGCAACTCCAGCAGCAGTTCCTGCTGTTGCAGCAGTACCTCCCGCCTCTCCTGCAGCAGTTGGTGGGGCCCCTCCCTCTCTTCCCCTGAATGGTGCAGCAGTACCCTCTGGGGGCCCCCTAGGCAAATGGATGGAGGGTAGGGGGCCCCCAAGAAGAAATAGTACAGAGAGGGAAAGGGAAAGAAGAAGAAGTAGATCCCCAAGGACTAATGGTAGAGGAGACAGAGAAAGGGACAGGGAGAGAGACAGAGACAGGGAGAGGGACAGAGAAAGAGACAGGGACAGGGAAAGAGACAGGGATAGGGACAGGGATAGGGACAGGGAAAGAGACAGGGAGAGAGGGAGAGATAGGGATAGAGACAGGGATAGAGATAGAAGCAGGAGTAATGCTAAACCCCAAGAAGAAGGGGTTAATGCAAGTATGCTCTCAGATAGGTAAGGGTTTAGGGTTTAGGGTTTGGGTGGTATTGAATGGGAAGGGTTTGCGTCTCTATAGGGATGTTGCTGATCGCTTGAGTGTCTGTTGTTCTTAATTGTTGGAGCAGGGTTTAGGTATTCTAGGGTTTAGGGTTTAGGGTTAGGGTTTAGGGTTTAGGGTTTGTGGATTCAGGCTGGTGGAGGCAAGACAAATGTCTTCAAGAAAGCGCGAAGAGAATAGGAGTGTCTTCATGAGCTGGCTGTGCTCAAAAGTAAGTCGCAGATCTAGGGTTTAGGGTTTAGGAATAAGGGTTTAGGGTTTAGGAATTAGGGTTTAGGGTTTATGGCATTGTGGGTTTGCTGTTGCTACAGGACTTCTATTCCGAAGACCGTCAGGGCAGTCCTGCAAATAGGGAAGAATTCGTCAATAAGTACGCGAGGGTTTAGGGTTTAGGGTTTAGGGTTTAGGGAGGTAGAACTCCGCAGCGACCTCATGGTCGGGGTTTGTTATGTTTGGGGTCTATGTGGGTCTAGGGCCTAGGGTTTAGGGTTTAGGGTTTAGGATTTGGTGTTTGCTGCAGCTTGATTGACTTTCGCCATTCGGTTCGTATCACGAAACGTCTTCTCGCTGAGGAGAATAAGGTGAGTAGAAACCCCAAACCCTAAACCCTAAACCCTCTAAACCCTCGTATTTATTTAAACCCTAATATCCAGACCCTTTTTTTCGCTGCAAATTTTGAGGGTTTGAGACATTTGTTTTGTGGTTGTTTCGATTTCTATTGGTGTTTGAAGGAGATTTAGGGTTTAGGGTTTAGGGTTTAGGGTTTAGGGTTTAGGGTTTGGTGTATATTCAGGACCATTCTTTTTGTTTAGACTTTGAAGAAATAAAAGGAGGAAAAAATCAAATTAATCTTGTTGAATGCCGCAATGGCAAATTAACTCGGGTGTATGCATTCAGGGGTAAGGAGTTGCCTATTTGCTGCTGCTCCTGCTCCCTTATGCTGCTGCTGCAGTTGCTGCTGCTTCTGCTGCTCTAAGCATTCATTCATGTTTCTGCTACTAGTCCTACTGCTGCTGCTGCTGCTGCTGCTGCTGCTGGTTGGGGTGTACAGACAGTGAGGACTTGACACTCGAGAAGTTGTCTTTTGATGAATTAAAGAAAACGCGAATTTACCAACGGGCATTCAAATACTTCACAAGGAAAGGTAAGAAAAAAAAAACACAAAGTTTCTAGGGTTTAGGGTTTAGGGTTTCAATTAGGGTTTAGGGTTTATATTAGGGTTTAGCGTTTATACGTACTTTTTTCTCTCAGGGGTACCGGAGGATGCAAAGCTAGTCTATCATGACTACCTCAACGACCCCGAGATCCGTGTGGGCTAAACCCTAAACCCTTGTTTTTCTGCCAGCGGGAGGAGGGCCCTTGTTATGTGGTACCCTAAAGGGGCCCCCTGGGGGGCCCCCCGGGGGGCCCCTCGGGGGGCCCCGAGGATTACTGTGGCCTGTACAGCCCGCAGGGGCTCCTTGGGGCCCCCTCTTTTGGCCGCTAACGGCAAAAGACTTTTAGGGTTTTGTTTAATATGGAGGCATCGTTGCCTACTGCTCTTTATTACCTTGTTGTGTATTAAGTAGCAGCAGCTGCTCCTGCTGTTGCTGCTGCTGTCGTTAGTATATTAACTGGACTAGGTTAAACAAGTAGGAGCAGGGCAATAGGACCAACAGAAAAAAAAATTGTCTTTATGTAGTTGCTGAGGCGCGACGCTGCATGTAGGCTGCTGCCCCGGGATCTGCTGCTGCTGCTGCTGCTGCTGGGGTGTCTGTATATACATTCGAGGGGATGTTGTCCTCCTGCGGTGTATAAACACCTGGGGGCCCCCCTTGGGGCCCCACGAATGGAGTGTGGGGTTCATCGAATAGTATGTTATCGTCACCTTCTTTAGCGAGGGTAAGAAGATAGCCGCAGCAGCAGCAGCAGCCGCATACGAGTGCAGCAGCAGCAGCAGCAAGGAGCAGCAGGGTAAGCAGCAGCAGGGCGAGATAAGGATGCTCAATAACAAAAAGGCGGAGGCCCTGGGGTTTAGGTCTAAACACCAAGGAGGCCCCTAATAAAGGTAATGGGGGGTGTATGTACACCCTAGCGAACTGCAGCAAAGAAACAAGAGGATAATTTAATTCTTCAATCATTTTTATTTCTTTTTTATTATTATTTATACCTAAAAAAGAAGAAATAAATGAATTAAAAAAAGAGCAGCAGCAAGCAGGTGCTGCTGCTGCATTCATTAACGATCTGCTGCTGCGCGCCAATAGACGACCCTCAGGGCCATACAGCAGCAAAGATATCATTGCTATAGATGGGGAACCGCTGCTGCTGCTGCTGCTGCTGCTGTTGCTGCTGCAGTTGCTGCTGCTGCAGCAACAACCCGGGAAGGTAACAGACAGCACCAAGTCCGAAGCAAATGAAGGCACCTTCGCTTCTTTCGCTAACTCCGGCAAAGAAAGGGACACTAACTGCTGCTCTCCTTGCTGCTGCTTCTGCTGTTGCTGCTGCTGCTGCTGCTGCTGCTGGTTGTAAGGCCAATAAGATGATAGAGAGGGAAGAGGAGCAGCAAATAGATCTCCATCATCAGGCAGCAACTCCCATGTGCGGTTGCTAAAGGGTACTGTTGCAACAGCAAGCGGTTCCTCAAGGGGGGGCCCACTAACTCCTAGGGGGCCCCACGAGGGAACCTGGTAGGAGTTTTCCCCCCAGGGGGCCCCCCACCAGGGGCTTCCCCCCCATGGGGCCCCTTGAATCCAGGGATTCCCTGGAGGCACAGGGGCCCCCGGAGCAACAAATGGCATTGCTGCTGCAGGGTTTGTTGCATGAGAGAAGACACCTGGGGGGGGCCCTCCAGCCCCAGGCCATACCTTGGGTACTTCCTCGTGTAGGTTTTTGGGGGCCCCCTGTTTGGGGGCCCCATCAGTGGGTACAGAAGACTGCAGGGGCACCAAGGGTTTTCTATGTTGGGCAGTAAGAGCTAAAGAAAAAGTTGGTGAATAATCAAAGTGTACAGGGAATTGGTGGAGAGGAGGAGGAGAAGAATAAATAAATAAAAGATAATAACTACCTATTCCTGCTATGGCTAGACAGCAGCATATACACCCCAACAGCAGCAAAAACATAAATAATATTATACATATCCATTTTGCTGCAGATAATGTTGAGGATACACCTAAACTACACGTCTCTGCTGCACCTTCAATACCCTGCTGCACTTGCTGCAGCTGCTGCAGCAGCCGCTGCCGAACCCGCTGCAGCAAGAAAAAACCCTCACGAAGGGGATAAGGCCATGTATTAAACCCTTGTCTTCCTTCTTCTGCTTGCTGCTGTCTTGTGTTTGCCGGAGGAGAAGGCCGTTGGTTATTTCCCTCTGCTGATGGGCCCCCCGGGCCCCAGCTCCCCCTTGGGGCCCCTACGGGGCCCCTCTTTGGGGGCCCCTGGGGGCCACACGAAGACTGTCTTAATGAATCAGACCGAAGGAGGGAATCAGACAAAGCTTCTTTACTATCAGCAGGGGACGACCAGACAGAGGAAGTGTTAGCAGTACCTGCGGGCCCCCCAGGTCCTTCTTTACTACCCTGGCGATTAGCATGAATAGGAATACCATCTGCTGCAGGAGGAACATCAGAAAGTTCATCTTGTGCAGGAGAAGCAAATGGAGGGCTGTCTGTATCTGGGCTTTCTCTGCCGATGGAAGGAGGGGGGGAGGGCCCCCGCATGCAGCCGGGGCCCCCACCTAGAGAAGAGAAAGAGGGGCCCCTCCGGCTAGACGGGGGTACCCTACGCCGCAGACCCTCGGCTACAGAGGCAAACCGCTGAGAGGAACGGCTACTGCGGGAGGAGGAAGAGGTGTCTGGGTATTCACGTGCCCTCATCGGTGTGGATAGGGGATGCCGTGGATGATACATTTAAAAATACAGGCTATGCATGCAATAGTACACTGCAGTTTAAACAGATGAGCTCCAGTGGCAATGCAAAAACATAAGCTTTGTGACAAGCTAGAGGGTTTCAGTTTCCCTAAACCCTAAACCCTAAACTGCACAGACAGACAGACGCCGCGGACAGCGGCGGAGGAGCGATCATCACTGAAAGAAGAGAAAGACGGAGAAAATTCATATAAATTGCTTCAAAATACCATGACAAATAAATAAATATGTCACTTAGGAGGAAAATACATTCATCCATACGCCATGCTCACACCTGTACGGCATGGCCTTGATTGTTTGTATTGGGGCCCTCGTCATAGCATGACTTCGAGTCGGCGGCGAAGGCGGAGGAAGCTTAAGAAAAGACGGAAAATTCCTCCTTATATTTCAATTTCAAATCGAAAATGAAATATCAATTGGAGTATTTACGATTGAGACTGACGAATCCTCTATCTTACGCTTATTCAACTTCCGCGCAGTCCCGTATGCTGTGGGGTTGCACGGTGGGATTATTTTCTCCTTTTTTTTGCTGAATCTTCTGAAGACGTAAATTCATATTGAATTATTCGACGCATTTTGAAGAAAAGCCGAAATTTACCACCGGTTGCCTTCCTGGATGAGGGTGCCCGCCCAGTAGCCGCTGCTGGTGTTGAGTCAGAAAAGACGAAACGGCACTTTTGTCGTCTTGCATCCGCTGATTTTCTTGATAAATAAGCTTAAATTAATGCACTAAAGCATTTATTCAATGGAATAATGCATTGAATTGCATTAGAAGACACAGAAGCAGCTGCATTCAACCTCTATCATAGGTGTACAAGATGAGGCTGCAAGCGGACGTATTGCGGTATATGACGAAGGGGGAATTTCGGGTGTTAACGGCAGTAGAGATGGGCATGAAGAACCATGAATTTGTTTCTGCACAGTTAATAGAACAGATTGCGGGTCTACGCCGCCACTCTATTCGTCAGATATTGAGTATTCTCCTTAAAAATAAACTCATCTTCCATTGTTCTAAGTCGTATGACGGCTATAAACTAACATATTTAGGCTATGACTACTTAGCCCTCAATGCTCTGCTTAAGAGAGGCCTGATTAAGGGAGTTGGCGTCCGTGTTGGTGTCGGCAAGGAGTCCGATATACATCTTTGTGAAGGCGAGGATGGCTCAGTACTGGTTCTAAAGCTGCACCGTCTGGGTATGTACATATATAAGTACTCACGTTTGTTATGGAGCCCTCCGTGCATGCAGCAGTATCTAGAAGATAGAGGGAATCGGGGGAAATATGCTGCATGCATGCGGCAGCAGCATGCAGCAGGTGAATGCAGCAGCAGCATATAGACACTTTGCTATTTTGTGTGTGATTGTGTTCATCACAGGCCGCATTTCCTTCCGTTCTATCAAGAAGAACAGAGATTATATGCAGCATAGAACACACTGCAGTTGGCATTACCTTGCGCACTTAGCAGCAGCAAGGGAATTCGCCTATCTTAAGGCGCTGCACTCCCATGGATTCCCCGTACCCGAGCCTGTTGACACTAACAGACATGCAGTGTTGATGGAGTATATCGATGCTATTCCTCTGACACAGGTAAACAATGAGCATGCACCCCCTTATTTATATTTACTGCTGGTGGATTGGAGTTTATGTAATAATAGAAAGGCATAAAGGTAGAACGATACAGGGGATGCTGATCGTGCAGCAGATTCTTGTCGCAAGAAGACGATCTCTCTTTCTCTCTCTTTATTTCTTTCTCTTTCTCCCGTAGTTACATTTCTAGCTATATTTCTAGCGCTATTTCTGTATCTGCCTGCATGCAGGTTAGGGAATTAGGAGATCCGCTAGGAGTGCTGGAGAAGCTGATGAAACTCATCGTACGACTTGCACACTGCGGCCTCATTCACGGGGATTTTAATGAATTCAACATCATGATCAGCGAAAAAGGGCACATCACGATGATAGGTAAGACGACAAAATGTTCAAATAATGCAAAAATAGTTAACAAATTGTACATGAAGATAATATAGAGGATCACCTGAAGTTTCCTGCTGGCGCAGCCGCCACACGATTCAGGTGTATGTGCAGCTCTTGCTTCTTCGTTTCTTCCCGTATTTCGCTTGCGATTCTACAGATCTTCCGCAGATGGTTTCTATTTATCATCCAAATGCTGCTCTTTATTTCGATCGCGACGTTGAGTGCATAAAACGTCTTTTCGAGAGAAAATTTCTTGTTGATGTTACGGAGGTTCCTCAGTAAGCACGTCATCCATTTACATAGTAATTCGAATATTCATAATGAAATACGATCATCTTTCGTCATTTATTCGCACGTAATGGTTTTGTTTTCTCGGGCATCATTTTGCATACATGGGTTATTTATCTGCCTTTTTGTGTTTCTCCTAGATTCGAGGACGTCGTGGGTCGCCTTAGCAAGCCACCTGAGAAAAAGCGGGCTGCTGAGGGTAATGATGATGACAAAGAAGAGGGAGAATCTACAGGAGAATTTATTTCTGTTTCTGATGGTCTTAATGAGCAGCAATCAAGGCTCCTTGAAAGTGCATTGGCAGAACGGCGAGAGGCAGAGAGCGACAGTCCGTACAGTGGATCAGAGGACAGCGATGACGAAAGCGTCAGTGAGGGATCAGGCAATGAACATTCCCTTAAGGGGGACACAGAGACAGAGGAGGAAGAGGAAAAAGGAGAAGCAGAAAAAGAAGAGGAAGAAAAATCTATAAAACGAGAAGTTGAATCGCCTGCGGACTCTGATGAAGGCAATCAGCAACCGCAAAGCAGTGGCAGCGACAGCAGTACGCATTTGCACTATATATATATATATATATATATATATA